GACACTGAGGTCATGTGAATACATTCCTGCTTTAGTGTAAAGAAAGACCCCAGATACCCTTTGTGAAACATTTCAGACACGAGCGCCTGACTAGAACCACCGACCTTCCGTAAATTAGCTTGATAGATTCCTCACATACAAAGAATCCAAAGTCATGATTGGATTTCAACTACAGCAGTAAATGAAAGATGATTTGAAGTCGACGGCCTTATCCCGACTCTGCCACTATTATGTACCTCCATCACTAGAGAAGATATTGTAATTGTCTGACCTTAATTTATACTCTATAACTTTCAATATTATTTTCTTTTTCAGAAACATGAAAACTGCTATACAGGATGTCTGAAATAAAAAAAACGACTTTTATTACATGCTTTTCGGTGGTTTATAGAAATATATCAGTGATATAAAACTGGTAATTTCACTGTTTGAAACAGTGAAATTACCACTTTGATAATTTCACTGTTTTGAATTTTAGCCCCTTATGTTGTTTCAGTGAAATACTAGCGTGCACAGTACTGGGTACCAACTTAATGACGTGACGTCGTAAAGGACGTCACGTTGTTTTATTATTTGGCGCGCTTTTCATTCAGTATTAGGTTTAATGTCTTTTTAAAACGTTTCTTTGCATGTAATAAAAAGAAAATTTGTTTAGTTTAGTGGAAGATCGAAATATATTTCACCTTGTGAACACCAAAAGTTCGTATTTCACTCGTTGCTGCGCCACTCGTGAAATATACCTTTTGGTGCTCACTCGGTGATATATATTCCGATCTTACACTGAACTAACAAATATCCTCTATTTAATTTAATAATGACAAAAAAATCGTAACTTCAACAAAGAAGCATTCGAAATGACGCCATGATCATGATTTGATTTGAATGCTTTTGGTTCGAGATGAGAAGGGTCTTTAAACATTGCCTTTTTTCAAAATCTAAGTTTTGGGTTTTCGTATCCCCGATTGCAACCGAAACCATTTGAACAACTTAATTGGAAGAAAGTCATGTAAATTTCATCACATTTAGTCAAGTAGTCATACTGAGCGGATGAGATTGCACACACATGTGTACGACAGACGGACGAATAGCCATCGTGCCAATAAGCTCACAGAGATTTAAAAGTCTATGTAACATTCATACATTTTACCTTGTATAATTACATAGAAAATATCGAAGTCTAAACTGTAACCGAAATCTGGGTATAAACTGTAACGAAATCTGATACAAATCGCTAGGTCTATGCTGTAACCCTGTACAAATTACCTCGCTCTATACTGTAACATTGTTTATTTTTTCAAACGCATTTTACCAACAGGAAAATAGGTTCAACTGGTCATTTACTTTTATAAACGTTTCCTAACATAAAGGACTAACGTTTTGCAGATTTACTTTTTCTAGGCATGCATAAATAATGTCGAAATTGCAGAAAAATGCGTTGGTCTCTCGATTCAAATTTTCAAACTGTCAAATCTGCAAATTTATGAGACAATATAACGATAAATCTGCGGTGCATGGTCTGAAGAAATATATGACTAGATACCGGATTCTGTTCCTAACTAGCAAAACACAAAAACATCTTTTAGAAACTAAACTTCTTGTAGTATGGACCGGAATAAAAATCACCTACCTCTCTTCCCAACAAATAATCCTCCATCTTTAAAATTCTATACTGTAACCGAAAAACGCGATACTGTAACACGTTCCCTACGGTGAATAATAACATAAAAAGGTGCGATCGGTTTAACGTTAAAGGGATACTCTGCAAATTAATGATAAAAATATTAAAATGATTTTATATACTTAAATCACCATAAAATGACATTTGTTTAACGTCCCAGAATGCATTTCTGTAGATTTATGTATATATTTTGAACGAAATTTAGACGCCGATAGAATTTTGAGGACATTTACAGAATAATGAATGAAACATTCAAAACTAAGGAATGAAAATTTTGCCTGTGTCTCCCTTTAAAGGGACCGATATTTTTTTATGCGAACGATATTTTTATATACGCATATATGTATATACACATTGGCCTAAGTTCTTAAATCACTGGAGAAGGAATTTTTGAGAATATATTTTATTGTTGAATCATCATGTTTTCACCGCTTATTGTCGTCTTGGGATGACTTTTCAATTTAGGTCAGTACCTTCATTGGTCAAAGCATCAAAAATAGTCAAAAGTTTCGGACTTTTTGGATTTGAAAGGATCTGTTCTTTGCATTCATGTAATGTTTAATACGATAATCGAATATTTGCGTAGAGATATCTGTCTATTTTTTTAAAGAAGAAGAAATAAAGTTTCCTTTTAAAAGGAAAGGCTTGCTCAGTTGTGCCATCATCCCATCCCTTTAAAAAAAATTGTTTTTGTTTCAATTTATTATCACATATTTTTTGAATTACGGTATTTGTATATCATAAGGGTTTATTTTTTTTCTTGAAAAAAAAAGTCACTTTTAAAGGGATTGGTAGGGTAAGCCCTAGACTGGACGACAACCTGTGCCCATTTGTTTGAGCACAAGTGTAATGCATGCAAATTTGGACAAAAGAAGGACCAGAAGTCCACTGATTATAACTGAACAGGAACATGCTGACGATAACAGTAACAACTTTTTGTTGTAAAAACGAATATTTTTGTCAAAAACGATTTGAAATCTATTCTCTATTATATAAAACTAATTAAGAAAATAATCAATCGTAAAATACTAACATTGGCTCTCCCACGTGGAGATATATCTATCATACTGAAGGGAAACAAGTGTCCACATTTCATTTCCACTTTTTTCGCAGAGAGACATTCGTTTTGGCAGTTGCTAATTTCAGTTATATAGCAGCTTTATAGACAAGTAAATGCACTAAAAGACTTCGTTACGTGGTACCAATTAATAAGCATGTATCAACTATGTTACACCTAAAATATCTATGATCACAGATGTACCAACATCACAGGATGCGCTATCTGTAGATCAGCATGTGGTAAGGTTAATGATATGCATGGGCTATTTTTAGATTACTTAAACTCTACGTTAAAATTGCGTTTAAATAAAAGACTCAGTAGATCTAAATATAACTCGATCATGCACTAATATTCTGTGTGATCCGGTCACGATCATTTGGTAAGCAGGACCGCCCTTTGGAGACGGAATACTACTACAGTAACCATTCTCTACTGTATAAAACTAATAAAGAGAAAAACCAATTATAAAGGAAACTAACTTTTGCGTCTTGAAAAAGAATTGAAACGGAACAATTTCGTTTATAATTTATTTCTTCCTTCTACTTACGCTTTAAACCGAAAAATCAAGTAAAAATAGAAATCCTATTTATATAAACAAACTGGGATTACTGAAGCAACTAAAAAAGCTTAGATTTCTGATATATTACTTCGTCTGATTCCGCAGTATGACGGAATCGCCCGAATTGTCACGATTGCAATCGGAACTGCCTCGGCTATTATCATTAATCCAAAGAGTGACGGAAAGGGCCGAAACATAGACTGGTTTTAGTGTTCAATCATGCACTAACAAATGTAAGCAGGAAACCACCTAACCGGAACAACTTTTCCAAAACAAATGGGCTTGCGGGCAAGCCAAAAAGAAAAAAATCGTAATCACATAGCGACTATGTCAAAGGCAGATAGGAATATGTTATTGTTGAAATGTTAATATTGCGATAATCACTTATGGAAATTATAGTACACTTTCCGTTTTAAAAATTAAAGTATACATTTTCTAAATTTTACTGTCTTGTTACTTATATATATATAAGTACCAATGTAAAAAACAAACTAAAATCAGTTCAATTGCAATACAATGCTATCATTTTTCTACCCTCTGAAGAAAACGGCTTAAAAGAAGCTGGCACAAGCTAGATCTTTTCATCTGCATGATGATTCAGTAGACAATTCCATTTTGGTATGAATGCTCCCTTGTCAGTTGATGGTGTCGTTTGATCAATGACGTGAAAATTTTGCCTTGTTGATTTAGATTTTTTTTAAAACAAAACGTATCTTTTTGCAATAATGGTAACCCTACCTTTAAGAGGCACAACATGACCTCACGTGATTGTAATCAATTTTGAATTGACAAGATGTTCACTGTAAGCGTTTATTGAAATGCCTTGTACAAACCTGAACATCCAGTGGTTGTAGTACGGGTATTCCAATAAGTACAACTTCGTTTTCATTAGGCATTTCAACGGTCGAATTACAGGTTTCCATAATGAGACAGACGTGTCTTTCGTGTCTAAAATGTGGAAAAATAGTGAATTAAACCACTCTGCAAACAGCTCGTCACCCATTTTGTCTAAATCAAATGCAGAATAGTAACATACAAATAAATTATATCTCCTGTTGGGTAAACAACCATGAACAAAGAATAGTTAACTCATGTCTTTACATGCACATAAGATATATAAAATAACGCATATTGTTTGGGATAAACATATTTTTTGTATTAAGATTACTTGCCTGAAAAATTAACAAAGTTGGACGTTATCGTATGATTTCACAAATGCACAGGTTTACAGTCACATGACTGTTAACAAAAGAGTTTAGTGTGAACAGATGCCCCACTTTCCGACCGGTCACCTTCGTTCCAGCGGATTATTTTTCGGTGTATCTTGTTTCATCATGAATCTGCATTTTTTAAATAATCATTGCGAAAGTTTAATATTTGAACTGTATTATCTTTTATTTTATAAAGTATACCTCTTGACTAAATGCAACGATAATGAACCGTTTCCAGCATGTCCTTAATGCCGTTCTTCTGTAGCGTCTCGTTGAAAATGTAGAGTAGTGCTGATATAAAAAAATCACTCCTTTCCTTGCATTTCAGTGTTAGAAGTTCCACTACATCTGTACAAAACAGTGTAATTTCTTCCTTTTGGTTTTTGGTGAAAAACAGAGGATTGATCAATATGTAAAGCAATATGAAATATTTGAAACATATATTCTAATGTATTTATTTTATTTTTTTATTATACATTTTTTTTTACTTTCAGAATCTACTATGTTCTAAACAAAAAGTGGTTTAACAAATTGTTTGTTTTTCAGGCCATTGTTACCATCTGAATGTTTGTTTAAGCCAGACAATGACGGTAAGCTAATATTATTTATTTAAGCTACCCGTTCTTTTAACGATATCAAGTTATATATTTTAACTCTTTTTGAAGCTGTGTCTTTAACTCATTGTTATTAATATTTAAACATTTTAAAAGCATATTTTAACTGCAAAATAAGTGTTCACAATGAAGACATCCATCTATCATTAAGACATCTTGATGTACGACGGATGTCAGCAATATTTAAAGTAAGAAAAATCAATCATAAAAATAAATCCGTTAAAAAAAATAAAATTAGATAAGTTTGTGAACAGCATTTGTCATTCTGTGAGGATTAACTAAGAAGGAGAACTGTTGCCGATACAATGGCCATATATTTAATTTTAATTACACCTAATAATGCGCAACGGATGAAAGGTTTAACGTCAAAATACAACGTAATTTTACATCATCTGACGCAGTTAAGTTTGTTAAATTTGAAAGGGGTATTCAACTTTTACATGTGGTCGGAAAAAGCCTAAGTTGACGTCACACAAGGGACAACGGACAGTAATCAGACACTACGATAGTGTCTGACACATCCAGTTAGATAGATGAGTTAAATTGAGACCAAAATGTTTCGGGGCACTGTATTTCGATAGATTATGGAGGTAACTTTAACGTGTGATAATAATAAAGCGGAACACCAAGCTTCTCTCTGAAAATCTGTGTTCCACGTAACAATAGGAGAACAGTAAAACAATACTGCTGAAAAGGACAGTTATTCGTGCAATAACGAATAAAAATAAAAACTTAAACCTTTCTAAGTAAATGTCAACAGTTTTGAACAACGTCAGAATATTTACAGAAATAGATGGCGTGACGTAATGAGAAAACAAAGTAACTAGTGTTCTAGATGGTTATAACATAATTATGTTCAGTATTTATTAAAACTAATCCAGTTATTATCTATATTAAAAACGACTTGCCAGTTAGTTGATGAATTTTTCAATTTATCTCATGAGCAGTTTTTTTTAAATGAATGTTATCTCAAAACTTTACAGACAACCCTCGTAAGATTTATCATGATGAATATTCAATTTTATATATAACTAACGAATAAATCATTATAACAATAATCTCCTATTACGCGTTTGAACAAGATTTGTGCCTTAAAAAGCACGTTTTTCTTTTATTAAGACCAATGCGCAATTCATTCAGGACTTTTTTTATTAATTAAGATAGTGAGATTCATATCTATTTTCAGTATAAGGTGATATTTTCGGTATTGATCCTAGCATTTAACACAGCCTTCTTCGAATATACAGGTAATTCTAATTCTTTGTCTTTCTTTGTTGTTGTTGTTGTTGTTGTTTTTTCATTTCTTTATTGTTATTTCATTATTTCTATTGTAAAAAAACATATGGAGGATAAAGCCCTAAAGAAAATTTAAGTCTTCTGTTTTTGAAACTTTGTTCAATGAGTTCTGGCGTATAGTAATGCCTTTTCGATTTCTACACAGGTTAAGTAAGTCATACCCCTGAGTTAACCTAGGAACTGCCTAGTTATCCCTCGCCGAAAAGGCGGCGGGGATATAGAAATAGTCTCCGTCCGTCCGTCCTTCCGTCAGTCCGTCCGACATTTTTGTCGGAGCATAACTCAAAAAGCCTTTGAGATATCAACATGAAACTTCATAGGTGCATAGATCTCACTCAGGAGATGTGCAGTGCACAAGAATGATAACTCTACCTTTCATATTTTTTGAGTTATTGCCCTTTGTTATTTTTTAAACTTAATTTTTCACCTGAGTGGAGCATAACTCAAAAGTGTTTGAGATGTCAACATGAAATGTCATAGGTGGATAGATCTTATTGAGGAGGAATGCTGTGCGCAAGAATAATTAACTCTTCGCTATATAATGTTTGAGTTATTGACCTTTGTTCTTTTTCATACTATTTTGTCCGGAGCTTATCTCAAAAAGCATTTTAGGTATCAACTTGAAACTTCATAGGTGGATGGATCTCATTGAGAAAGAGTGCAGTGCACAAGAATGATAACTCTACCCTGCATAATTTTTGAGTAATTGCCCTTTGTTATTTTTCAAAATTAATTTTTTTCCAGAGCATAACTTAAAAGGCCTTTGAGATATCAACATGAAACGTCATAGGCGCATAGATCTCACTCAGGAGGTGTGCAGTGCTTAAAAATGATAACGCTACCTTTCATAATTTTTGAGTTATTGCCCTTTGTTATTTTTTATACTGAAATTTTCAGCTGAGTGGAGCATAACTCAAGTGTTTGAGATGTCAACATGAAATGTCATACGTGGATAGATCTTATTGAGGAGGAATGATGTGCGCAAGAATAATAACTCTTCGCTATATAATTTTTGAGTAATTGCCCTTTGTTCTTTTTCATACTATTTTGTGCGGAGCTTATCTCCAAAAGTATTTGAGGTATCAACTTGGAACACACCTGCGGATGTTTCTAAATTCAAAATTTCACCATTGCCGGTGCTAGGGGGCGTGGACCTGCAACATTTTACAATTTTGCCGTGTTGGGCTTTCTTTGGGGATTCTGTTTTTATCTATTTCATAGGTGGATTGGTTTTAACGAGGAGGGGTGCAGCACACAAGAATGACAACATACCCTGCATTATTTTTCAGTTATTGCCCTTTGTTATTTCAGCCATCAGTATTCACATAGGTTTCAAATCTGTAATCACTTCAGCCATCAGTTTTCATTACCAAAAGACCTCTTAAAATTGAATTATTCTGCTCTACTACATATATATTCTTCCAATGAGCAAACACATTCGGCGGGTGATGGCCATGTTGACATGGCTCTCATTTAAATAGACTTGTAAAGTAAAAAATATATCTTTAAGACTTTCTCTGGTAGCACAATTTTAAAAGTTTAGATATTTTGATACTTTGCATTTAGCATTATCACGGAGTCCGCTATGGAAGTTACATAAATCATGTTCCTAGGGGACAAAATTGACCACAAGGAGTACTAAATTTACATGTCATTGTTATTCTGACTAAGCAATCATAATTAACAATTTAAATATTACTTTTTGATGTAAACATAAGTCACAATGTCCGATTTTGAATTCTGATGAAATTGTAAACTAATACATGTGTTTATTATTGGTCATTTCAACTCTCACGACCTCTCTGTCAAATTATTTAATTTAACCGCTGTTGTTATTATTATCGTACGGAAGTATGGAAGTATAAACCTGCCCTTTTAACTTGTGTCTTATGACTTGCGACTTATGACTTGTGACTTTTGACTTCTGATTCGTGAATTACTTGTCTGACACAATTCGGCGCGTTTTTGTATGAAATGTGGCAGACAAAAACGCTTTATATTCCAGAACAATTTTCTCATTTAATTAAGGTGTTTTATAACAAAGTCTCTTCTAAAATCGTATTTTATCACCTGGGTAAGCTGCGACTTGAAGGCTGTTGAGCAGTTGAGCAGTGATTTTTTTCTTTTCTGATCAATTATGATATTATTCTTATGTTGATATATACAACTTTTGTTCATGTCCGCACCTTAAATTCAATTAAATGGCTAAACGTCATAGTGGTAGCGTACTTATATATACATGTATTCGCAATAAATATTTCAATCATGCTGAACTCATTGACAATAATGAGCTTTGGATTAATCTCAAGAAACTCAAAACTGGAACAGTCAATGACATTAATTTTGTGTTTTGCATACACTGCGGATGATCTCGTGACCAAAATCGTACAATGGGCTCATAAAATGGCGGCCTAAACGCTCGGTAAAAGCAGTGAAATGGAGGTAAGCATACAGTTAACGTTAAATGTTTATGTAAAATTAGGCCGCACGGAGTCCCTGTATAAAAACCACGTACTATTCTGTTATTGGTTACTTTGCAGCTCTCTCTGTTTAGGCCTGAAAGTCGAAAAAGTTGTTTTGGGTGATTAGTACAATGGCCGAACAGGTACTAAAAGGCGTTGTTTTCAGTAAAAAAACGCATTTTGTGTAAAATTAGCAATGACATCTTATGCACAATTTCAAGTTTGCCCGTCATGAACATTTTCTATACTTTGTAAAGTTGCATAACGAAGTTGTACATCTTTTTAAAAAACGAGTACAATGGTCGAACCAAATTTAATGAGTACAATGGCCGAACGACTTTATTGCCTGTCCTATTTCATCATTTTTTCCTTTGAATAATGCTTGTCTTTGAAATCATACAAATATTATATTTAAAAGTGAAAAGTAGGAAGAAGTATTAAATTAATTCAGTTTGCTTGCTATACATTCTCATCTTAATAGTATTCTTCTTTGATTAACACATGACTTTCTGTACATCAGCGTAAAAGTATTTACAATACAAAAATGAACAAGAAAAGTATTGATGCAAATCATCAAAGGGCGTCCAAGCAAGAAATGCAGCAAGTGAAGATGAATTAGTAGACATTTTATGACAAGATATTCTTATAATCTTTTGAATGGTTAATTGGTTTTTACCAGAATTGTATATCACTTAATTATGAATACCCGGACGAAAGTCATTATGAACTTTGATTGGCATAATAAAGATTAGAATATAACTTGTTTTTTCTTTATGATCGTGATTATTAATAGCAACGGATATACATGTATACACTCATTTATAATCCATATGTGTAACGCATGATCAACACAACACTTTGTCCCTTATTATGTTATCGCTTATTATGTTATCGCTATTAGCGAAGACCCCCTCTTAAGGTATCTGTTCACACTTAGTAAAAATATGACACTGGTTATATTACCATGTTGATCATGTTGAGCATAATTGTTTATTATACAATAATTGTAATATCTATTTTAATAAGAAAATTCACAGATTTTACGAATATTGTTTTCTTTTCTTTTTTGTGTTTTATGTGCTATTTTATGTACATGTACATTTGCATTTTTCTTTATCATTTTTTAAATTATCAATTAATTTAATAATTCATAAAATCTAATTTGTAACTTTGAATAATTCCTCGGCATCCCGGACAATTAACGTGTAATACTATTCGCCGGTCACTAGTAAATCCCGGTCAAAATAGACCGGAAGAGACCGGGAGTTACCGATAGGAGTACATCCCTCTATAAATAGATTTTAGCAATGTTTAGGTCATCAACTCATCATTCTATTTACAGCTTTCGGATACATGTACAACAATAACATACCATAATAACCCACTGTGTACTACAAAATGATAAATAAAAAAAAACCGAAGAGCGCGATTTATTCACGGAAAAGGTTATTTCATTTGAAAATGTTTGCATTGCGAAATTCTCCAGTTCGCTATTCATTGTACATATCGCGACATTTAATTTTTAATTAATAATAATCAAGCACCCTCATACCGATCAAAATGATCGGTTTCTATTATGACCGACTAAAAGGCTCGAGAAGTTGATGTCGCCCTTTCACAAAATCTGATTTCATTCCAAAAGGGGCGTCGCGCTTCGGCGCGGACGCCAAATACAAACGTACATTATATAGAATTTTTTTCACCAGCAAAATATATGTTTCAATTACATACATAAAATTGTCAATTATTTTGGAAATATAGTCATGTATTTTTTTTGTATTTCAGACGCAGAAAAAGTGGTTATTCTAATGAAAAGCATGTTTACGTATATCTATGGAATATATACTGTTATGTTTATTTAAGATTTCAATATTGTGCTTATATTATCGTTAAAGACTTCATCACACCATATTAAGTAATTCAATATCTTTACAAGAATTGGAAATTTCTTATGTGTTTATTTGCCCCGGCATTATGGCAACTCGTACAGAAGACGATCAGCTCCACGTCGTCACGAGCAGGTACACAAGGGGAAGGCACCCCATAAATGCTGTGGGATATTGTTTCTAAGTTTCGGCAAATTGCAAAAACATGGGTCTGTAAATTAAATATCATACATGAAGTACATAACTGTTTGATATTTCTACAAACGGCTTGTGTGGCAAAGATGGAAAGAACACAAAAAAATGGTTACATAAAAAAAATTATTAAAAAAAGGAAATAAGATAATCCTCGAGCAATATATTGCCCTATTATTTGCAGCGGCATACAATGTACCCTGTGTGTTGAGAAATGAACGCATTACATATGTTCCTAAAATGATTCAGTTGGAGTACAAAATTTTTTATGAGATCAAATATTATGAAACCCGGTTATAATAGCTACAACACCGTTAAACATAACACGGAAGCTTTTTTTACATCAATGATCTGATAGTATTTCTAAAATTCTAATGTGTTTCAGCTGTTTCAGATCAAACAACCAAAACC